TGTCGTGGACAGAAGGTGCGATGTTTCGTTCATTTCTGTTTGTTTGTTTGTTCCACTCGCTTCAACATGCAGTAAGGCAAGTTGAATCCGGTGGAAAAAAATGCATGATTAGCATACACTTGGCGGTCATCATATTGATATGCGAATGATTTGTGCAGTTTTCATGGATCAGAAATGAGCAGAGGAAACACCAAAACATTTGTGATGCACAGGCTAAGGTTGCCGTATTGTCGATCAATTATCCGCAGGTGTCAATACCACCACTAAGTTATATCATTACTATCATAGCGAATGCGGTCGTATGTCGAGGCTGAACGTTCATTTTCGACTCCAAAGCGGATAATTCTGAGCAGAAAGCGCTCGCTTATGGAAGCTATTTTTGCTGTTCCATGGAATGCTGGAAAACTTGTAGGTGAATGAGATGGAATGCAGGGAAATTGGTGGAATGAAAGACGAACTGAAGGATCGTCAGTTTTGCGTTTATCGAAAATCAACAAACAAATTCATGGATGACAGACAATGCCCACGATTGGTGATGATCCATTGCGATATCAAAGATGGAGTGTTGACATTAACGGCTCCTGAGCATGAGCCAATCGAAGTGCATCTTCAGAAAGTACTGGATGCAAATCAGATTGTGATTATCAAGTTTGCTTTGATCTACTTCGCTGTCATTCCATTCTTTCAATTTTTAGCCGTCATCCATCCTCATAATGCTCATCATGTAACGCCCATTGTTTGAACAGCTTATTGCAAGTAGCAAAGAAACGAATATGACTTTGTGGCATTGGAATGTGTCGAATAGTTTTGTTTCTGAGTTGTTGTGGTGTTCACCTCGAGAAATTAATTTGACGATGAATTTCTCCTACATTCAGCTTCCCCCGAACCCCCTACTTTAGAAAGGCAAGATGTGAAAACTGGCTAAAAGCAATGTTGAATCATTTAGCAGTGAGTATCAGCGCGCTTAACGAAGCTAGCTTTATTGTTGCCGCATTAACCCGTTACGAATTTTTTGTTTTCAACAGCACTCGTTCACGGTAACATCTGCCAAAAGTATTTCCAAAGAAATTTTCACGGCTCGAAACACTTTTGAGGACGAATGCCGATAGGCGCTAATCTTTCACAACAGCATTCGAACATAAGCGAGATAATGATGACCAGAGGAAATGTGTGTGAGAGTCGTAATTGCAGGATGTATGATGACTTGAAAAATGCCGGTCTTGATTGTGGGCAAGAAGTTGGCGATTGGCTTTCAAAAGTGCTAAACGAGGATGGCCCACTTGGTTTGTTGCAGTATAAAGCTGGACTATACTCTGAGCGATGGTCACATCGTGGATACAGATGGTTTTTCGGAATAGCACCAATTAAGGAGAAGGTTTCTCGGATTTTGTGACCAATTTCTGATGGCATCATAAGATCATGACTTTCGAGTGTAGCA